TGAACTGCTCCCTAGCAGGCATAGCAAGCCCTTAACCAGGGGAAAATAACCCCACCTGCAGCCATTCTGCTCTGGGATGCATAACTCCTAAAGCAGAAATGCTCTAAAGAAGGAAAGTCATCACACTGACAAGTTTTGGTGCAGTAACTCTATATAACAAACAGCAAGAGTGAGATGAGCTGTCACATTTCTGCTCAATTCCTGAGAAGGAGATCTTCAGCTTTCAGAAATCGTGTGGCTCTCCCTCCTTTCTGATGTGGGGCTCTCAGTAAATCGTCCTTGTAAGAGAATGAGGATGTGGCTGTTGCTGAGATGCGCTTTCTTTCATAAAATAGAGCCTGGGATCAAAACCTGCTCATCCATTTCCTGCAACACTCTAATCTTTCTGCCCCGCTCTCTCCCCAGATGGCAATTCTGCTGCTTCAGATGCTGAGCTCACAGCGGGGACAAATGGCCAAGGGAGCCCCAATGGGACACCCCCCAGTCCTGTCCTGTTCATAAACAGCACCGGAGGTGGAGAATCGTATCGGTCCACGCTGCAGAGGTGCCTGCTAACAACACAAAACCACCTTTTTCTCGTGGCAGATAACTGTTTTCTTACCAGCTGTTAAAACATAAATGAGCTGTCAGGAAAACTGGGAGGGGGGAGAAAGCAGCTTCTCGTGGGTTAAGAGAAGTGTTCAGAGGGAGCGCTGGCAGCATAACGTCTGCGTTCCTCTTGCAGTCTGATCAGCGGTGTCGGCGAGTTGGATATAGAAAAGGACACTCATAAGAAAGCAGACACCCAGGCAAAGGATACTCCTTATCCTGACTGCCCCTTCCTGCTGTTGGATGTACGAGACCGCGATGCTTACGACCAGTGTCACATAATTGGAGGTGAGGAGCCTGGAATCCCAGCCTGCTGTCGGCTGAAGGCTTGCGTGTTGTTCTGGGGGGCTTTGCTTGGATGCTCTCTGCACTCATCCACGCATCCGTCCTCCCTGGCAAGGGATGAGGGAATGGGGCTGATGTTAATCCCTTATTCATCAAGTTTCCAATCTGGTTTTCGTATCTATTACTCTTACAACCCTGTGTCAGCTGTGTTGCAGGTTGTGATGTTGGTGTTCAGCCACCGTCTGATTTCTTTTTTTTCTTTCCTTCCTCTGCAGCTTATTCTTATCCTATTACAATGCTGTCTAGAGCCATGAATCCATATACAAACAGTATTCTGGAATATGTATCCTTTATGTATGTAGTGTGGAATCAACAGCAGTGAGAAAAACCAACTGATAACACGTTGGCAAAGGGCTTCTAAATCCAATTCCAAAAGCAATTCTTCTGACCAGGACAATGTTTAGCCACCAAAATCCTGGGATTCCAAGGAGGGCGGGAGGGAAACTCCTGTCTGCAGGCTTTGATTACCTGGTGGGGCTCTGCTGCAGCCTTCAGATGCTGAGTTCTAGTTCCTTAAAGCAGAAACCTCTTGTTTTCAGTGGGAGCTGTGTGAATCTGGTGTTTCCTGGGATTGGATTTGCCTTCATGCAGCCACAGTTGTATCCCTTGGGCAGCTGTTTCGCTGTTGCTCGATCACTGGGCTTCAAATCCAATCCTTTGGCTTCCTCCCAGCACCTTGATGAGGATTGTCTTTTCTCAGGAGGACAAAAAGAGGATTATTAGCTGGGATTAGGCTGATCATTTCCCAAGTTGTTAGTGTGGGAGGGCTGCAGGGGAGAGGGGAGGTTGTCAACAAATTGTTTCTGACTGGTAGTTGCTAACCAGTCTTTGGATCAGTGGTGAAATATATGCTCACAGAGGGGATCAGGCTGTGCCCTTCCAGTGCCTGGCAAGCTTCAGCTGCTGAGAAATCAGATTTAGAAACACTGAGGGGAAGGCTTTCCTACCCAATAGTTGGAAATCACACAGGGAGTTTATCTCCAGCTTCATTCTGAAACATATTAGGTCTCAATCAACAGTTGAACAGGATCATCTTGGAGTTCTCTTCCAACCCTGGTCTATGATTCTATGCTTTGAAGTCCCCTCAAACTGACAAATACACCCTTAGCTCTTCCACCCATCAGAAAAATGCCCATGGAAAGATTATAATTTTGTACGACGACGATGAACGGCTCGCCAGCCAGGCTGCCACCACCATGTGTGAGAGGGGCTTTGAGAACTTGTTCATGTTGTCTGGAGGTCAGTGGGGACGGGCAGGACAGCGGGGGGAGCGGGCTCAGTATATCCCAAATGGGCTCCATAGGACCCAAGTGGGCTCAGTGGGTTTGGGGTGAGCTGGAGGGTGGGAAAGGGAAGGTTGGATTCTGTCCTGTGATGGCAAAACCGCTGCTCCCACGTTGGATGGCGGTCATTAACAACACGTGGGCTGTACATCTCCAGGGCTGAAGGTGCTTGCACAGAAGGTCCCAGAAGGACTCGTCACTGGCTCGCTCCCCATCTCCTGCCAGGTGGCAGCTCCCCCAGGGTCTGCCCGAAGAAAGGCTGTTCCCAAAGTGCCACCCGCACGTGCTGAGAGCAAATGGAGGTACTCAGCAGAAGATCTGCAGAAGATTAAGTACTACCTCGAAGAGGAGCAGCTTCCTTCAGACACTGCCAGTAAGAATCCAAGACAGATGCCACGCAGCTTTCTCCTGCTTTGCTGTATTCTTGCAGTGAGATGGCTGGGAAAGGGGAGAGGTTGATTTCCAAACTGTGCTGTTCCCAAAGAACTGGAATCTTGTATGGCTGCACGATCCTGGTTCTGCTGGGGCAGGCATGCACCGTGCTGCCCGCTGTTTTTGAATGCCTGTAGGTTTTCTTGGTGGTGAGCTGGTTTGCAAGTTCTTAAGAACAAAAAAAAAGTCTGATTGAAACTGTCCAGGAATTACTGGAGAGTCTATAAGATTAGAGTCAGGACAGTGACGAGGGGCAGCAAACCATTGGTACGTCATCGTTCTCCATCCCTCAGCTTCAACTTGTGTTTCCAATCCTTCTCCTTCAGGTCGCCTTAGCCGTGGCTCTTCAGGACGTGATTCCAAAGCAACAACAGCACGGAGCAGCCCCAGCCTCCCCAGCACGGCAGGATCCCGCGTGCTCAGCAGGAGCAGCTTCCAGAACAGGCCGTGGAAATAAGCAGCCGTCTCTCCTTCCACTGAATAAATGAGAGTCCAGGTTCTGGGAACGCTGAGCAGTGCAGCCCTGTTTGTCATTTTAGGAATCCGCTGTGGAAAGCGGTGGTGATGTATGAAATGGCAGCTTGGATAAGGCTGGGGAGATGGAAGGGTTGGTGTGACGTCTTGTAGGAGCAGCATCACGTTGGCAAAGTGACCTTCAGGACAGGGGAGGGGGGAAAACTGGTAGTGAAGCACGTGACCAAGTAGCAATGGATCTGTAAGACCTGCAGCTCAGACTGAGGAATTGTGTCTGGAGCAAACGTTCCTCTGTGCCCGGCTCAAAGCTGCAGGCTCTGCGCTAACGGTGAAAGGAAACGGGTCAGAAAATTGTGAGCAGGAACCGTGGTGTTTTGTGGCAGGGATGGACATTGAGCAAATTGCCAAAATGGTGGAGAGGATTCCATCACTCTCTTGTGTTTATTTATTAAGTGTTTGTAATAAAGATGTTTTGGGAAATAACGACCGGCGTGGCGCAGAGGCGTGATAGCTGTCTTTAATTATGGATGATTTATGAGATGGCTCTGTTTTTCTGGAGGTGAGTCAGAGGGATTGAAGTTTATTCCTATGTGTACCCTTCCCAACGTGTTTTGGAGTGGGTTTGTTTGAGGGTGGCTGAAGGAGGGGATATCTTCTTCTCTCCTTTCATCAGAGTCCTGAAAATAACCCTAAAAGTGAATCTGGTAACTGAACAGGATGTGGAGATTTCATGAAAGCTTTCATCTCATCAGTGCTCGCACTGTGCCAATGCTGGCTGGAGTATCTGAGCTACTCTGAAATTCAGTCAGTGACAAAGCAGAGGCAGGGTGTGGAAATCACAACCAGCTTTACCTACGTTGTATCCCTGTGAGAGAAAGGAAGAGGTGTAATGAGCAGCTTTTGTGCCTTCTGGACTGCTCTGTTCAGCCACTCGTAGTATCAGATACGGGAGGAGGAGCACCAAGCTTAGCCCCGAGTCTTACATCAGAAATGCTCACTGCAGTGATGTTTCTGCAGCCAACAACTGGAAAGCTCATCCTGATCACCTCCTGGCCTGCACCTCCAGAGGGAGCGTGTAAGGATGTACTGAAGTGTGCAGTGCAAGGCCTTGTCAGGTATTGACACACAAATAAAAAGTACAGCAGGGCTGTGTCTTATTTCTGTCCATTGGCATGAAGATGGAAAGTGGGATATCCGCCTTGGGTAGGACATGGAAATGAACACTGGGATTTGATGGGGCTGCCTCCCATGCGTATTTCAATCTCCATGTCCTGAGCTGTCTGCCTCTTTCTGTTCTGTATGGTACCTCCACTTCCATGTCCCTGTGAAATAAAAGTATTGAACCAACTGCCATCTCCAGCTGGCTTCAGATGGTGGCTTGCCTGGTTTGGTTGGCTGTTCAGTACCATTTCTAGGGCAATAAGTGAAGCTGAGTGTGAACATGAGAGCACCAGGAGATTATTTATGTTCCTCCTGGTCCAGCAGTGTGGAGGTAGAGGAATTATTTCACCCTGATGAGCACAAGGAGGTGATGGTGTTACTGGTGCATCCAGCTGAAAATGATGAGAGTGAGAGTTGTGTGTGCTGTCTTAAATCAAATCCTGATTTTGTTGTCCAGCGGTTCGAGAAGGAGCTGAAAACCTGCTTTGATCTGCATGAAAACCTTCGAAAATGGGGGGAGAAAACTGTGCTGTTTAAGATCCTTCAAATCGAGGGCAACAAATGCACTCTCCGATGACCTTGATGAGTTTCTGTGGATAGTTGGGTTTTGGTGGGTTTTTTGTTTGTTTGTTTGTTTGTTTGTTTGTTTGACATTTGACTTGGTATTGTTTGGAAAGAAAGAATAAACTCAGTAGAGTCTGGAAGTTTCAATAGGTCAACGCACACTATGTTGGCTATCAACTGGATCGCTTTGTTGTGTTTGGAAGGAGGGAAACACCACCCAAACCATCCTCTTTAAATTTTTTTTTCTCACTTATTTATTGCATTCTTCTCCCCAGTCAACTCGACCACCACTCAGCTCCAGATCCTGCTCAGTAGAGGTGATTCCGTGCGTGTGCCATGATGACCTCCAGAGCTTTCCATGTCTCCTGGGCAGTGGGGACAATCTGGCTGGCAGGCAGCAGGAACCCGTAGCGTCCCGTGTCCCGGAGCTCGAAGGTGAAGGAGTACTTAATGCCTTGATTGTAGGTCCAGTCGATGGTTCCTCCGCTTGCTTGATCTTGGTGAGGAAAGAGATGAACTTTGCTCGCTCTGCGACTCGTGGCAGGACATGAGGAGGAGTGATTTTGGTTTCACTGGGAGGAGAACAACCTCCGTTACTTACAGATGGTGGTGATGATGCTGCCATACTTGTAATTCGTGCCGTACAGAGAGGACAGAGCTTCCACAGCTTCCTTTGCGACCTGGTGCTGGGGGAAAGACACACAAATGTGATTTGGGGTAGGGGAAAGTCTACGGTTGAATGGAGAGGAAAAAAAAAAAAAGGCTTTGACACTCATCCTACTGTCAAAAAACAGTAGGCAACACTCAGTAGTGCTGGCCTCAAGGAGTCCCTATGGACCCTATGGGGTCTTCTTTCCTGCTTGCATGGGGTACAATGTGGCATTTCACAGTGTCCCCTAAATAGGCCCTACCAGTTCTTCCTTGTCAGGCACAGCAGTGGTGGTGTAGCCATAGGGGTAGAGCAGAAGCTGGGAGTAGCTGTGGATGGAGATGAAAGCTTTGATGTTCCCATGGTCCTTCACAAAGTCCACGATGGCCTTCACCTCTGGCTCCGAGTTGGCGTAGGGCCCACGGTACGTCTCTGAGCAGGAGTTGCCGCTGGCCCCAGAGCCTGGGGAGAAGAGAATGGTGAAAATATGGCATTTGTTGGCATCTAGGTGGCTCAGAGAGTCACAAGAGGTCAAGGAAGAATGCTTCTGGGGCTCCACGTAAACATTGTGTGATGGTTTCCAATGGTGGTCTCTACCATATTGGTCACTAGGGGACATCAAAGACCTGATGGAACCAAAACCCACGTCTTAGCCCAAAAGTCCATCCCTTCCTTGAGGACACAAAAGACCTGATGGAATGCAAATCCATGCCTTGAACCCAAAGCCCATCCCTTTCCTGGGGCCACCAGTGGATCTCTCTGAGCCAGAAACATCATCAGAGCCTTCACCTGGAGGGCAGAACACAATCTGTCAGGTGAAAGGGAGAGTTCTGACCTCCAAATCCTGCGTCCCAGTTGCGGTTGGGGTCAACGCCAACGCAGAGAGATCCAGAATGCTTGGACCTGGTCTTGCGCCACATACGATTCTGGAAGGGAAGAACCAACTCAACCAGAATCCAGGGCTGGAGCATCTCCAGCCTCAAGCAGAGAAGCAAAAACATTTCGGGGGACACGGATGGGTCATGGATGTCCCCTTTTTAACTGACAGACATGTGGATAGAGAGGCTTTGAGCTCTCGGGGGCTGTGCAGTGCCCACATCCAGCTCCCCAGCTCCAACCAACAGAGATGAGATGAATGCCAGCACCGTACCGAGGTGTGGGTGAAGACAAAGCCGTCAGGGTTGGTGACAATCTCCAGGAAGATGTCCATCTGGTCCAGGATGTTGGCCAGACCTTCATCTTGCTCTTCAACAATCTAGAGAGGATGGTGATTTGGGGCTGGCTGGAGCACCATTGGGGTGATCACACTGTGCTCAAGGTGTCTACAGGACCTTGTAGGCTTTGGAGATGTAAGATCTGCCCATACCTTCTTGGCAAACCAAACGCCGCTTGCTTGTGTCACCCATTCACGGGAGTGGATGCCAGTGTCAATCCAAATGGCCGGGCGATTCGTGCCACCTTTACTGAACTGGAATTGCAAAAATGGGGCAATTGGGACCGCAGGAGGACCAACCCATGAACCTGATCACTTCAAAGGCCCCAAATCCCATACCTTCAACACATAGATGGGGCGGTTCTCTGTTGTGTGGCCAATCTCCAGCTTGCTGACCAGGTTTGGGTTTTCAGCCACCAGTAGGTCCATGAAGGCATAGATCTGGTTTTGGGAGAGGGACGTAGGGGATCATGAATGTGTAGATGAATTAGTAGGAGTGGTTCTTGGGGACATAGTTTAGTGGGCACTATTGGTGGTAGGTGGATGGTTGGACTTGGTGGTCTGAGAGGTCTTTCCCAACTTTAACTGTTCTATGATTTTATTTAAGGACATAGTTTAGTGGGCATGGTGCTGATTGATTGATGGTTGGACTGGATGATCTTAAATGTCTTTTCTAACCTTAATGAATCTATGACTCTATGAATGGCTCATTAATTCCTTAATTTAGAACAAACCCCTTTGCAAAAGCAATTCCAAAATGTGGGGTTTTTTTCCCCCCAAAGTGCCCCAAATCTTGAGCTTCCCCCATGCAGAATATCACCTCGTCCAGGGTGTGATAGCTGGTGTAATCGAAGGTACTGGTGGAGAATGGCATGAAACGGCGGCGACGAAGCATCTGCATCTGTTCAAGGTCCACCAGCGCCTGTGGGATGTGGGGCAAGATGAAACCTCGTCCCTCACCAGCCCGTGACTCCCACCCACCACTCACACCAGCACCACCGACCTGCACGTCCTCAATCATGATGGAGTAGGGGACACCGTTGGCCTCCAGGTGGGCTTTGACAGGCTGCAGGCTGCGGAAGGGCACGCGGATGTCAATCGGGTTCCCAAGGCCACGGGGTGAAAGCCAGAAATCCAGCTGGATTGGGGAGAAAATGGGATGAGGGTCAGATCCTGCCTTAGACTGTGCCTCCGCCTCCCCCTTCTGTTTTTCTCTACGTAGCACACCATGGGTTATCTTCTCCACCTCTACTACACTATGGGACATCATCTTCCTACCCCACCATGGGACATCATCCTCTCCAGCAATAGGAAATCGTTCCACCAGCTGCTCCTCTACGAGACATCATTCCTCATACCCTACTACGGGATATCATCTTCTCTCAAGTCCACTAAGGACAATCATCCCCCCTTTATCCCACTATGGGACATCATACCCCTTATCTCACAGTGGATCTCCCCATATGAGACATCATCACCACCATGGGACACGGTTCTCCCCCAACCCCAGCAATGGGACATCCCTGCTCTGCACCATAGCTCAGGGGTGCAAAGTAGAAGACTGGGAAGAGGTCCCTAAAAGCTCCCCCTCTCTCCTGTCCCATACCTGCAGGTGCTCCAGCTCCTGCAGCTCCTGCACCTTCTGCAACTCGGCATCGCTGCTGGGGACAATGCGTAGCACCTGGTGCCTGTGGGGTCAGAGGGTGTTGTGGGGTTCAGCACAGCCATCACGCCATCCATCCCACACACTGCTGTCCTTGTCAAATAGGGGCTGAACCAACTGCTGTCCCCCATCCCAGTCAGCACCCCCATCCCAGCCAATGTCCCCAACTAACCCATTCCAGTCAATATCCCAGCCACCTCCACTGTCCAGACCCACCTACCCGACAAAATTCTCAGGGGTGGCAGCAGCCACTGCCCCCAGGGCAGCCAGCAACAGGAGTGCCCTCATTTCCAGCCGAGTGAGTATGTCCCAGGTCCTCACAGCACCTCGGGACTTCTTAAATCCTAGTGATCTCCAGCCCGGCCCCCTCCACCTGCCCAAATTCCCAGGGCCATGGAAAGGCTCCGGACGGTGTGGTCAAGGTTGAGTGAAACCTGTTCTGGGAGCTGGAAACCGGATGGAGCCGTCGGTGACTCAAGTGGGCAGGACATGGGAAGGTAACAGCAGGTGCTGGATCCCAAATCCCACCGCCCGCAGAGGAGGAGAAAAAGGGTAATGTTGGGCTGAGCAAGGTGCAAGGTGTTGGTTTTCTCATGATCCAAACCGCACTGTTTGCTTGGGGGGGTGGGAATTGGATGAAAGTTTAGCGCAGGTGCAGGTTGTCTCAGCTGGGAAAAATAATACAGCCAATTCTTAGAAGCCCTTGGCACACAAAGATTGCCCCTTTTGTCCCCAACCCAAAGAAAAGGGAAGGGACACTGGAGCTGCCCCAAAAGCAATAAATTTGGGGTTGGCCATCCACGCTCTCCAATGTCCTTTGGGGACAGGCAGAGAGCAGGGATGGGAATGTGTAAGACCAAAACAAAAATGGGAGAATAATAATCATAAATTCCTAAAAACAGATTCCTAAATCTTTTTTTTTTTTTTTTTTTTTTTTTTTTCCCCCACCATTTCTCAGCCATATGGTCTGGTTTTCATGTGGTTCTATATGGAGCCAAGACTCTATAATCCTTATGGAACATTTCCAACTCGGGACATTCTGTGATTCAATGGACTCAGTGATCCTTATGGGTCCTTTCCATATGGGGTATTCTATGGGTTTTTGAAACCTACCATGAAAAACCAAAGATCTAGGCTTAAACCACATAGAATTTATGGGATTTTTTTTTTTTTTTTATTGAGTTGTATGGTAGGGTAGGACCAATGGGGTTCACCTCCCCATTTACAACAGTGGGCTTAGTATGGGTGCTGCTGGATGTGGACCAAGATGTCCAGCAGTGCCGGCCATGTCTCGGTGGCGGTGGGGATGATCTGACTGCTGGGCAAGAGGAAACCATAGCGCCCCGTATCCCTCAGCTCAAAGGTATAGGAATATTTCACCCCATTCTCATAAGCCCAGTCGACGGTGGTGCCGGCTGCCAGGTCTGTAGGGAGAGGAAGGAAGACGAGACCCCAGCACTGAGCGCTGGCCATGCTGTAGGGTTGGTCAAGATGTTTAGGGGTAGGGATGCTTACAGATGGTGTCTGCAATGCTGCCATAGGTGTATTCTGTCCCGTACACCGCTGCCAGGTCGTTCACTGCCTTTTCAGCCAACGCGTTCTGCAAAGGAGATGCCCAAAACAGTGAGATCCAGCAGACTCAACATCTCCCAAGGCAGTAGAGACCTCAGGGCACCGGACCTCAGAATCCACCATCTTTTCCTACCCATCTACTTTTGCTTTTCTCCAAAACACCCTTAATTTTTGTCAGAAAGAGGCACATCTCTCAACTACTCTCCTCAAAAGACCTGGAAGATGGTGGATTCAACACGCATGGCTGCATCTAACAGGAGGAACACTGGGGTCCCAGCGTAGTCTGACCTGACTTTTCATAGGATGGTAGAATTATCAAGATTGATAATCATAGAATCATAGAATCACCAAGATTGGAAAAGACCTAAAAGATCACCCAGTCCAACCGTTCACCCATTCCCAATAGCTCCCACTGAACCACGTCCCTCAACACAACATCCAGCCTTGCCTTGAACACCCCCAGGCTCAGTGACTCCACCACCTCCCTTGGCAGCCCATTCCAGTGCCTGACCACCCTTGCTGAAAAGTAATACTTCCTCATGTCCAGCCTGAATCTCCCCTGCCGTAGCTTGAAGCCATTCCCTCTGGTCCTATCACTGATGACACGAGAGAAGAGGCCGACCCCCAGCTCACTACAACCTCCCTTCAGGAAGTTATAGAGAGCAATGAAATGATAAGACCACTAGGATCATCTATTCCAACCATTTCCCCCCAAAGCTGGTGGTTGCAGCCCCATAGCCATTTTTTGGGGCCATCTCACCAGTTCCTCATGATCGGGTGCAGGTGTATTCTTGTAGCCATAGGGGAACATCAACATCTGGGAGTAGCTGTGAATGGAGATGAGTCCTTTCACATTCCCGTGGCTTTGGATGAAGTCCACAATAGATTTCACTTCACTCTCAGAGTGGGCATAGGGACCGTGGTAGGTTTCAGAGCAGGGGTTGCTGCTGGAACCAGAATCTGGGGCATGATGGAGGAGAAAACATGCAATGAGGTGCACTGGAAGGGTTTGTAGCCCGGGTTTCTCCCCAGCAGCAGGAAGGTTCAAGCCTTTGATGTGAGTGATACCTCACCTCCAAAGCCTGCGTCCCAGTTTCGGTTGGGGTCCACACCGATGCAGGAGGAGTCAGCGTTGACAGACCTTGTTTTTCTCCACATACGGTTCTATGTGAGACCACAGGTGCATGGAGTCAACTCCACATGTGCCACCCAAAAAAGTACTGCTGGACATAATGGCTGGAACCAACCACTGGGGTATGTAACTCACAGTGCTATGGGTGAAGGCGTAGCCATCGGGGTTGGTAACAATCTCAAAGAAGATGTCCATGGTGTCCAGAAGGGAGGTGACAGTGGGGTCCTGGCCATAATCTTCAGCAAGCTGTATTGGGAGAGGAGTGGGAGCTGTCTCACTGTCCCAGGAACAAAGGACTGTAGATCTGGAGAGGCTGTAGGATTTTTTTTTTTTCCCAATTGGGTTCAACCACAGCATCCATGGAGATGGCTTGGGTTTGCAACTTTTGCCCTTCACCCAAACCTTCATGGACAGTCCCCACTGCTTACAATCCCAACCCGACTGCAACCTACAACCCCTGACTTTGAAAACCTGTTCATCCCTTTTTTCCCTTTCTTTCTCTTCCACGGCCTACACATGCATGTGTTTGGGATGAGGTTGGTGCCATTGTTTGGATTTTATTTAAGAAATTGGGATTGTGAGCCCAGGTACAGCCCCAGCTGATGCCCAAGCTTATTGCCATGAATGGATGCAGTGACGGTGGGCTATTTCATGCCAGTGAGATTTGGGTGATGCCTCGTTCACCCACAGACACTCCCCAGCCCACTTGGATGGCGATGTCCATGTTATGGGGTTACCTTGTTGGCTGTCCACACGCCAGTAGCTTGGGTGACCCATTCACGTGAGTGGATGCCAGTGTCCAACCAGACTGCTGGCCGATTCGATCCCCCAGTGCTGAACTGTGCAGAGAATGGAATGTCAGCCCTGTGGCTCCCAGAATGGCAGAAGGACTGGGGTTGGAGGCACCGCTGGTCCATCTGATCTGTGCCCAACCCCATATCCAGGTGGGTTTGGAGAACTCCGAGGAGGGGACTCCATAGTGCTCCAGCACCTGGTTGGGATGAAAAGAGGTTGGCCCTGTACTCACCTTCAGCACATAGAGGGGTCTCTTCTCGTAGCTTTCACCAATCTGGATCTTGCTAACGAGGTTGGGGTAATCTGCCACAAGGGTGTCCATCCAGTCATAGATCTGAAAGGAGGAGGTGCTGGGATGTGTAGCTGATCCTAGCTTACCTTTGGGTTTTAGGGTATCTGGCACCAGACACAACATGCAGAGCTTCCCTGGACACAGCCACACTTTGGGTTCCCCAAACACAAAACAAACTATGCAGAACAAAGTACCTCCTCTACAGTGTGATAGGATGAAAAACTGAACTTGTTGGTACTTCTCTCCATCCGCCTGGACAGCATCATGGTTCTCTTTTCCTCATCCAGTAAGTGCTGTTAGAGAGAAAGTTTTCAGGTAGAAATATCCTACCCAGCCCCAATGCAGTCTGCATCTTGCCTCCAAAACCCACTATCTGCAACCCATGTGTAGGTTTTGCAAAGCATTGTCCACCATTGCCTTCTCTTCCCCTCATTTCCACCACCCTACCTGCACATCCTCGATCATGATGCTGTAGGAAATGCCATGGGATTCCAGGAAGACTTTGACCGCTTGCAGCCTGGAGAAGGGCACCCGCAGGTCAGCCGGGCGCCCAGGTTTGGTGGGGTCGCGCCAGAAGTCAACCTGGTGGGGACAAGAGCAGACATTTCTACTGCCTTGGAGGATCCAAGGTCTCCATTTCAACTGCTGTTAAGGATCTAAGAAAGCCTCCATTTCAAATGTCTTGAAGCATCTGATGTTCTCAATTTCTACTGCCTTCAAGGATCTAGGAAGTTCCTCGTTCTTACTGCTTTGAAAGATCCAGGAAGTTCTCTGTTCCTACTGTCTTCAAGGATCTAAGATGTTTTCCATTCCTATTGCCTTGAAAGTTCTACAAAGTTCTCAATTTCTACTATGTTGAAGCATATGAAACATTCTCCACTCCTACTGTCTTCGAAGGTCAAAAAGATGTCTAGACAAACCTAGGGACCAGGAGGCTTGGGAGGCTCTTTACCTTACTCAATGGATCTTTTCTACAGACATACTTCAGCCCAAATCACTCATGGGCACATCTTTGAATAAAGAGGATTTGTGAACTGAGCAGCTGCAATGAGATGATGGAGTCACTGTGTGCCAGTTTTAATCTTTTGGTAAAGATAAACCTGAAATCAGATTTGTGGCAGGGAGTCTCTTCCCTATCACTGATTTATCTGTTACTCCCATTGCCATAATTTCTTGCCAGGATTCACTCCCCCACAGCAACCCAGCTTCTTCACTCAAGTAAAAAAATAAAAATTAGTAAAAATTGATATTATGGTGGTCTCACCTGCAGGTCCACCTGCTCACCCAGTGCCCTGAGCAGGGCAATCTGCTCCTCATCGCTGGCCACAGCACGGAGGACTTGGTCCCTAGTGGGTGGTAGAGACATCAGTGGGTGCAGGGACAGGAAGGGGATGGTATGAGTGGTCCTTATTGGGTTAGAAATTGCATTTTCAGAACATGCATGGGAAAAAAAATAAGCACGAGGGAGCTCAAGGTGGTCTCATGCCTTCCTTTGATCACAAGAGCATCTAAAATTGTAGGAAATAAGGCAGGTTTGGCTTTGGCAGAAGGGTAGGGTGAAACAACAGAGCAGACACTTTGATAACAATAACTTATATTTGGGGAGGGATTTCCAGAGATTAGCATTACGAAATAAAACCCATTAGCAGAGCTTTTTGCTTTTAACATGGAGCCAAAGGTGATGTGCTCCTGCTCTGTTGAAGCACAGCTCTCCGGAGGATCTCAAATGTGACCGCAAATGTGTCTCAGTTCCCTGGGGAATGCTTGGAGGTCCCACCACCAGTGAAAGAAACACCCAAACGGATTTTTTCTTCATGCATGAGGTGAGCAGAATCCATCCCCGTCCCCAAACCTATTCCCATTCATATCCCCATCCCATCCCTATCCCAACTGCTGCTTTCAGCAAGACTCACCCCACAAAAAGCTGCTCGCTGAAGGTGCCCACCAGGAGGGCAGTGAAGACCAGGAGGACCTTCATGTTGACCAGGTGCTGGTAAGCCTTTGGTCCTAAATGCATATATGGGCACCTATATAGTCCCTCACCAAGGCCAGCTCTGTCGTCCCCGCAGGGCCACTAGCCACAAGCAGATAAGCCAGCAAAGGCTTCCGGGAGCCCAAATGTTTGTTTTTATTTGGAGAAGTCAATAAAAGAGCAGCCAAGTCGGGGAAGGATCTGATAACATCTTCCTCCAAGTCCAGTGCTGCCACAGACGGACGGTGAGGACGTGCTCCCGTGGGAGCAGGGTGGGACAGGGGATGGTGCCACAGCTGGGGGTCTTTTATGGCTTCAGAACACCAAATCACAAGGTTCCTAGCTAGGATACCCTATTTGTGTTTGTGATGATGATTGTGAGCTGGTCCCAGCTGTGGTGCCAGGATTGAGGTCTTGGTTGAGGTGGATCATGGTGTAGCTGTGATGAGATGGCATATCTGGAGGGCTGTATCCCACCTCCCCAGTGACTCAGCTCTGAGGGCAGCCCAAGTCCTTCCATGTCAGATTTTGGAGCCTTCCGAGCCCTCACAGCCTGTTGAGGACTCGGCCTTGGGGGAAGCCCAGGTCCTTCCACGTTGGGTTTTGGAGTCTTCCAACGATGGAGACCCCACAGTGTGTTCTGTCGCTGGGTTGGCCTCCTGGTGGAAGATTTTCATGTGTCCAGCCTGAATCTCTTGTTTCAGATGATCCCATTGTCTCTCTTAGTGTTCCTGGTCCTGTTTTCACAATAGTATTCTCATAAGGATGGGAGGGCTGCTATTGGGTCCATCTCATCTCCAGGCCACACCAACCCATCTCAGTGTCCCATCATGAGACGTCCTCCTGTCCTTCCTGGTGACTTGGTCTGGGTCCTGTTGGTACTGCAGACCCCAGAAGAGGACGTAGTCTTCCAGCCATATGCCTTCAGAAGGGCCAGGTAACCTCAAGACATGGATATTTGGATTGAAGCTTCATGGGTCTGCAACTTCAGCAAGAATCCCTGCAGCTCAACGGGATCCAGGAGCTCTGCAGCCCTGGTCCTCCACACCAGCAGGCTTTTCCCAGCAGCATTTTATCACCGGTTGGAGGATAGGGTTTTGGGACAGGTTGAAAAATGAGTGCCAGGAGGATACAGGCTGCTCTGTACCCAGCACAGCTGTGTTTAACCCAATTGCAGCAGTACCATCACTTTTAATGCCTTGCCAATGAGTCTGAACTAACATTTCACTCACTCATATCAGGAGTGTTTGCTCTCCTGCCAAGCACACGGAGCAATGAGTAACTCACCAGCTGCTGGGGGATTAGAGGACAAGAGATAAACCTGTTAGGTTTGATAAAGGTACAAAATGCTGCTAAGGGCAATTGTTGCTTGGTGCAAACACATTTGGCATTTATTAATGAAGATGGAGCTGCAGAGGGCACCCAAGAGACCATAGGGCAGGATGCTTTGATGCAGTCTTCTCCTTTCCAAGCTCATCTTTTGGCTGAGTCTTAAAATCTGTGACACCTTGTAGGAGTCTACCAGACCCACAGAAAGGCACAGAAACCAACATGACAGGGATGGTGTCCAAGAAATGTGTAGATACAGTACTTAGGGATGTGGTTTATTGGGCAATACTGTTGGCAGGTCCCTGTTGGCAGGATGGTTGAATTAGATGATCTTAGAGGTCGTTTCCAACATTAATGTTTCTGTGATCCTATGATTCTATGAAACACTCAGAAAGCAAGCAGGTTTTTTATTCAGACAGCTGCTGTATGATTACAGCACACCACAGGAAGAGGATTTCTGAGCTTGCTGATCTTGACAGCTGGTTCCCATCCCTGCTTTTAGTATGGGTTGTCTCGTACATATTCCATGATTGTTTTCAGACCCAGCCAGGTCTCCTCAGCAGTGGGGATTATTTGGGCAGCTGGAAGAAGGAATCCATAGCGACCCGTGTCTCTCAGCTCAAAGGCAAATGAGTATTTGATGCCATAATCATAGCTCCAGTCAATGCTGCCTCCGCTGGCTTGGTCTGAAAGACAAAAGGAGAAAAACCAGAGGATGAACAGAGGATTGATCTGAGTTCTGCTTTCATACTTCTTATGCCTGCAAGGAGCAAGTATGAGGTTTCCATGGGAGAACTCAGCTCCAAAGTCACTCTCCAGGAGGAGCTCTGCTCCCAAGAGGGGATCAGAAGAGCAAAATTACTCACAGATAGTAGTGCAAATGCTCCCCACTGTGTAGGTGGTGCCATACAGGGACTGGATGGAATTGGCAGCAGCTTTCGCTATGGTGTTCTGCAGAGGGAAGGATAAAGGATGAGTCAGAGTGTAGCCACATTAAATGTTGAGATTTCACCAGCCTGAATTGTACTCAGGAAAATCTCCAAGCTGGTTTACAGCCTGTTCTCACTCCCACAAAAAAAAAAAAAAAAAAAGAAAAAAAGAAAAAAAAATACAGTCACACCAAATCAATCAATTTCTTAATTACTCATCCTACTGACAGTCCTGTCCACTTGAATTATGACAGTGGTTCATACTCTATCACAGACATTACAGCTGAGATGCTGTCTTTCAAGCAGAAAGAAGGATTATTGCTTAAGCAAAGGCCAAGAATGGAGAGGGAGGTCATGTGCTTGCGTAAGACCATGGCTTTTCTTTTAAAGGCATTGCGTTTCCCCAGGTCTTTGCTCACTCTCATGGATGGTTACTGTTATGGACGACCCTTGTTTTCATCCTGATAACTTCAGTGTGGAAAGCCAGCTGGGCAGAACAGAAGAAGCTAAGCCCAAGTCATTGTGTCTCACCAGCTCGGCGTTGTCTGCTGGTGGAGTGCATTTATAACCATAGGGATACATCAGGAGCTGAGAGTAGCTGTGGAGGGTGAGGAAGGCCTGGATGTTTCCGTGACTCGTAATAAAATCCACAATTGATTTAACTTCCACCTCTGAGTTGGCACTGGGTCCATGGTAAGAGTCAGAACAGGGGTTACTACTGGCTCCAGGACCTGTTGGTACATAGTGGGAGCAAAGATAAATCTTTAAGAATTGGTGCTCATGGAAGCTCAAGGCGGATCAACACTAAGCTGAGCTTTCCTATGATCCAAAAGCTTTAAGTGCTGATAAATACTAGAGCAGAATACCCAAGGGACACCAGTTCTGGAAGATACAGATTACTTTCTTCATCCTTTGCTCATTAGCAATTAATCAACATGAAATTATCTTTATAAAACAGCTACCATTCTACCTGATAATTTTCTTCCAGAGTCCCTTACATTAAGGAGATTGCTGGTCCAGTATAAGAGGATCCGGGGGCACAAAAGGGAATTTTCTTCTTACAGCTAGAATCCAGAAACTTTGTCCTTACCTCCAAAACCTGCGTCCCAGTTCCTGTTTGGATCCACTCCAACACACAGACTGCCTGAGTTCTTGGAGCGGGTCTTCCGCCACATGCGGTTCTGAAACAAGGACACGCTTTGGCTGCAAAGGCACAGACCTCAGTCCTTGCATTAACCCTGCTGTCTAGAAATAGTTTGCCTTCAGCAGGAAGGGATGCTAGACACAAGCCTGAGAATATTTCTGATGGGCTGACAGCCAAGGAGTTGTAGAATCAAAGGGTTGGTGAACTTAGAGTGAAGGAGAAAGATGGATTAGACAACTATCTTTGGCTTCTTTCGTAACTCCACCTTAAAACATCAGGAAATGGACTTTCAGAGCTTATTTCCCTCACTTTTATTGGCTTGGAAGGGCATAACAGCTTTCTCAGTCAGCTTAGACACGCAATGTGCTTTACTCACTGTGGTGTGGGTGAATTCATATCCATCAGGGTTAGCGACTGGCAGCAGGAAAATGTCCAGGTTGTTCAGCAGAGAGGTGATGGATGGATCATTCCCATAGTCAGAGGCAATCTATGCAGACACAACGATAATCACATGGTGATTATCAGCAAATTTCTTACCCTCTAACAGTGTACAGAGGCAAGACTGGCTTTCAGAGCAGGCAAAAGAGAGTCCACAGAGCAGGCTGAACACATGCAGGCGCAGTGAACTTCTAAGTAGAGGCATGCTTGAGACAAAATAGCATCAATCACTGTCAAAGTGACCTTTCTAGCTATCCACATTGCACTCGCTTGGGTAACCCACTCTCGGGAATGGATGCCAGCATCGAGCCAGATCGCAGGGCGCTTTCCTCTTCCAGCACTGAACTGTCAAAAAAAAGAGAAAGTATTTAAAACCCTCATCCAGTAAAATCATCCCATACAGACAAGACTGAACTGTGCTGTATGTGCACCACACATGGATGTTAGTACTGCTATATTCACATGCACACTGTGATGTGGGATGTACCGTACCTTGAGCGCATACAACGGCCGATTTTCATAGGATTCCCCAATCTGGATCTTACTGACAATGCTGCCATACTCAGATGCAAGATTGTCCAGTTCTTGGTAAATCTGAAATGAAAAGCCACGATGCCTTTTACATCACAGTTATGTGCAGTGCTGCCCAGAAAACTGCAGGTCCTGCTGAAATCCACTTTCATCTCCTTGCCATGGTCTTGCCAAAACCTCACCACACCTTTTATCAGCATAGTCAGTGCTGTTCCCAACATCACAGATGTAGACAGAAGCACTGCCTAGCCATCACTGAATCATAGAATGGCCTGGGTTGAAAAAGACAACCAGGATCGTCCAGTTTCAACCCCCCTGCTACATGCAGGGTCACCAGCCACCAGACCAGGCTGCTCAGAGCCACATCCAGCCTGGATCAAGATCCATTTATTACAGGAATAAGTTCAAAAACTTCTTTCAAAACCTTCTTTAATAACTTCTGGTAGTAAACATATTTTCCCTCTATCTACAGGATGGTTACCAGCATCCTGTATTTTTTTACATTCGTTTATTTCTCAGTTTCATTTGAAGATCAGAACTGAGGGGCTTTGACAGAACTCTGTTGAAGTTTAGCAAGAAGTACAATCAGCACTTGCCTGTTCCAACACTCTGTGAGGGAGCGTTGGCTTCCCATGCTGACTGACCATGAAATTTATATGTTTAAAAACCAAACTATCTACCAGAAGAACACAGAAAGGAATTTTCAATCTTAATATGTTTGATCGAAGACAGCATGAAAAAAAAAAAGGCCAAAAAAAAAGAATAATCTTCCCCAAAATCTGGATCTGACATACTCACAGAAGCTAAAGAATGGTAAGTTCCATAGTTGAAAGTGCTGCTGCTGCGTTCCATTTGTTGACTGGCAACTATATCTTGCTTTTCTCTGTCGAGAACGACCTGAAATAAGCCATTCAATTATTGGAAAGCATGCATCACTTCCAAACTTGTGACCAAACGTTTGTCAAATAATGAAACGGTGGCACTGCACACTCATTGAAAGAGGCCAGACTGCAAGTCATATTTGGTTCCTCAGGATTTAAAAGCTGATCACACGGCATTGCCTACCTGCAGGTCTTCAATCAGGACTGAGTACTCAATCCCATGGGACTCCAGGAAGACTTTGACTGCCTGGAGGCTGTGAGCAGGGATTCGTACATCCACAGGGAGGGCAGGGGTGGAGGGATTTAACCAGAAATCAAGCTGAAAAGGGAAAATGGATTTGGTTTGGGGGACAGTGTGCTTTGCAACAGTTTTCCTAAAGGTTTAGAAACAGATTTCTTCCAAAGTTGAAGAACTCCTGCAGTGTTGTTCCCCATCATGCAGAAAGAAGTGTTCACCTTCCATGGAGACCATTTTACTACTCTTCCTTTTAGGAGCAGTAGTTTCAAGAATATGAAAAGCATTGCTTTTGTTTCTCCTTTGGTTGGGCTGTTCTAAAGTCTAGTTTCTATAATATTCAAATCAATGTATTTTTTTAAAGAAAGTGATAAGAAAAATTCTCACCAATGGCAATAAGAGCAGTAATAACTGAGAACTTAATAACATACTTCCTGTTTCAATATAATGCAGATTGATTAACAAATTCTTTCCACTGCTCTGGGTGACAAGTAAAAAAGTATTAGCATCCCCATTTTCACAATGGGGTTTTGATCCTAAGATGAAGAACAGTTCAAATACAACTGTAAACCCAATAGGGAGAAAATCTGGATGCAGGCACTCCTGACTGCAAGGCTGACAGTGGAACTAGCAGATTAAAAAACACATGTTGTGACAGTATCTCCCTATGTCATGGTGCAAAGCTTCCAGATCTAATGCAAGTCCTACCAGGCTAAACCCTACTTCAGACTGAAGTGTTAAATAATGCCACTGTGACAGTGAAATACCTCAAGATGATCCAATGTTTCCAAAAACTGTAGCTTCTTCAGTTGTTCCCCATTTCTTGTCTTGATACGGAGAACCTGGTGCCTGCAATAAATTAGAAACAGGCTTGGTTGGAACTAGATCACCTTTGAGGTCCCTTCCAATCCAAGCCAATCTATGACCCTATGATTGAGAAGGGGTCTGGTTGAACTTACTCTTGAGATTACAGATTTGTTGAGTAGTTGTAGAATCATAGAAACATACAGTTTGAAAAAAGACCACAACGATCATCCAGCCCAACCACCAACACAACACACCACCACCACCCCCACTAGGCCACATCAGCCCATATTGACTTCTTTAACTTAGTTGACAGTGCTGCCCAGGAGTTCAATCTACAACCTGCAGAACCAGCCTGGTATATGGGCAGTGGATTAGTAACAAGATAAAGGGAATGCTCAAGATCTCATCACAAACAATACATCGTGTGGATGAGTTGTTAATTGGTTACAAGGATTCATGCTCTATCTATTCGTTCTTCTTCTTCAAGAACGTGCTAGGAAAAAAAATAATTGTGAACCATTGAATGTTTGCAGAGCAAACAAAGCAGAGAGAACACTAAATATGGGGCTTGTTTCACTTTTCCTCAGTCTAGTCAGGCTATTGATAAATTCCCCTGCGTTACCATGAGAGAGTGGCTTGTAAATCCAGGTGGAGTTAATCCCCTCCTGGAAGCTCCTTGCTCTGCTGCTCACAGGGGTAATCTCAGACATCAATTTTGACTACAGCACAACGCAGCCATCATGATGTCCCTAAGTGGTTTTGAGAACATGAAAATGATACACAGTGATCCAGGTGGTTTAGGGAGATGAAAGTGAGCAGTGCTGATGCTGCCTTTGCTGGTGGCATATGGGGATGGGTTTGTTTGCATCCTCTTCCCTAGGCTACTGTTGGAGACAGCCAACATCCATGAGGCCCCATATCCTAACCTGGCTCAGCTGCTCTGTTGGCACCCAGTGCAAGCAGCGCTGGAAAATGGAGATAACTCAGTGCAAATCAACATGAGTGACTGCAGAATTGGAAATCACATTGTAAGAAAAGGTAAAGAAGAAACAACATAGGAGCTCCATTATGTATGTATTTATTTGCTAGTGTGACCTCAGCTGCTGGGAAGAAAAGCTCTTTAACTCCAGTTTCCTTGACCTGCTTAATTGAGGTGTAAAATTCTTCTACCAAATTAAGTCAACATAGAAGGCACTTTAACTTCCTATTGGATTCTCCATGATTTATGTTGGACTAGATTCTTCCCTGAAGAAGAGATGAGGTTCACTAACCATACTTCTGGATGTGACTGAGGAATGAATTCACAAGAACCCAGTCTGCACTGTGCCAGGAATCAGATTAATAGGTTCTCCTGGCCTTGATATTACCAATATTACTTGAATTTTAGTAAATAATGTGTATTATTTTTCTTTCTCTCAATCCTTACATTTCAATGTAGAGATCTACTCAGTAGAATCCAGTGTTCACTCACTACATCTATTACTCTCAGGTTTTCTATTATTTCCTTTTATTATTTCCTATGGGGTCCATGACACAGTGAGGAAACAGATCAGGAATAATTTTGCAATGCAACGTACAGAAGAACCTTCAGAATGGTTGGAAATAAAGATTCAAGTTATTTAGAAAGGCTCTGAAGGGTATTATGTGTTTAAAGAGAAATAGGAACCTTCAAAAACAATGGGAAACTATTGACCCTTCAGACCTAAAGGCAGGCTGTGATCTTCTGGCTCTGGTCTGTGCTGGGTCAGATCTGAACTCTCTCAAGTGCTGCAGTGAGGTTCAACTTCAGGTCTTGGTTGAGATCTCTCCTTAGCCTGCATCAAAGCTGCAACAGAGCCTTGCTTGAATGTGAATTTTGGAGCTCAACTCTGCAACTAAACCCTTCTCCTCAAACGAGTCAGATGAAACTAAAGGGATTCCTTCAAACAAGGGAGAGCCAAAGCTGTGGAACAAGTTGGTCATAAAAAGTGAAGAATGTTCCCCAAGCTGATTTTGTAAAGATAAGGAAGAAAAGCAAGTGGAAAATAGAGTCTTGCAGTGAAAGGTCTTGCACAAAAGCATGACTCACCCAACAAAAGTTTCCAGGCACAAGGCAGCCCCAAAGAGGGCACTGAAGATCAAAATCAGCTTCATGGTTGATGCGAAGGGCAATTCAGTCTAGCAAAGGGGAATTTATACAGGACTTGTTAGGAATCCCTTCTTCAAAACACATGAATTCCATGTGATTAAATTCTCACAGGTATCAGCATTTCAAGGTAACCAATAGACAGAAGGCCAATTTCTGCTCCAGAAATTTTTTTCCACACAGGTTCAAACCAGTAAAGAATTATTTTCAATGCTTTGCTCACAAAGAATTCTAGTAAATGTTTTTCCAGGAAGAGGAAAGTAGAATGAAATTTAATGTTATCCCAACTGTTTCTGGGAGCAAGGAATCCTACCTGTAGATTCTTGGCCATGGGTTTTTCTCCTACCCCAGTAGCCTACCACAGCAGAAAGATCTCACCCTATCAAAAATGCTTGAACTGACCAGTTATTTTGAAGGATGAGCTCCAGCTCACAAGTTATATATTCTATTATATATATTTTTTATTGAAACTAGCATCTCCAATCTTCAGATGTGGTGCTTTGATATGGATTCAGTTCTTCATGCAAATTAAGGATGCAGCAAGTTTCACATGAAGACAATGCACAGTAGGAGCAGAAACGAAGCCATGGGTGAACAGGAACTCAGGAACTCAGCTCTGCAGCTACTCTCCTCGTTGGATAACCTTGCCAGACGTCCTTATCTAATGAAGAATTCTCAGAAGGCTCAATAAAGTGCTGGTGCAGCCACTGCTGGAGCCTCTCAGCCTTACAATGCTCACAGGGCTGTTCCCTGATCCAAAAGCTCTTTGTCTCCCTTTGCCTTTCTGCTGGACGTTGTTTATGGCTCACTTCATGGGGGATGGACTGCATCTCGTTGGCCTTCCACACTGGTGCCCAGCTGTATGAGTTGCCATTGTCAACACTGGAGGTTCTCTCCTGGCTGAGCTTTGAGAGCTGCTTCTCTTGCCTTTGATCACAGGAACGCATCGCTGTGGTTGTCTCAGAGTGACAGGTAGAGATGCAGGGCTGTTGGATGCACTTTTTCTTTATCCCATTATAAACGCTACTAAGGAAGAGCCAGGCATTGAAAGTGCTGTCAAATGCGTAGATAGGGCTACTGGGAACTAATATGGGAGAGAACAGAGACAGTTCAGCTACTCTGCAGTCAGCCTCAGATTGCCCTCCCAGGAGCCACGCCTTCCACCCTGAAAATCTTGGTGAAGGACTGAGGAAAATAAATGTCTGAATAGATCCTCAAAGGAAGTTCTTATTAAAGAGACCTCACCCACGCTGCTCTAAACAGATTGCCCAGAGAGGTGGTGGATGCCCCATCCTTGGAGACACTCAAGGTCGGGTAGGATGGGGCTCTGAGCAAGCTGATCAAGCTGTAGGTGTTCCTGTTCCTTGCAGGGGAGTTGAGCCAGGTGACCTTGAAGGGTCCCTTCCAACTCAAGTGATTCTACAGTTTATCACCACCTCCCCCAGTTTCCACTCCTGCCCTGCTACTTCTACCCATCATGTGTGTGCACAGCTCATCCCAGTCTCTTCCAAGGGAGCCTCAGGCAGGGATTATTCCTGTTTTGGCAAAAAGGAGTTAGGCACCCTGCAATGGCTGTATCTTGGGGGCATGTTATGGAGACCACACACTCTGCAAGGAGCTAAAAATGCATTCCTGTGAGTCCACAGGTCTTTGGTGTCCATGGGAAATGAGCAGATCTCCTCTTCCCTCAGAGTAAATCAGGTGAGTTTCTCCTTAAAGACACGATCCACCAGGAGGATTTCCTGCTTTTAGCACTGCAATAATTCTGGTGAAACACAAATTCAAACTGCAGCCTTCAAAATTCTGTAGAGAACTGACAGTGCGTCCACGGCACCTCCTGTGGATTCACTCTTTCAAAACAGGATGGAGAAGCTTAAATTAGGGTGAAATTACAGCTTGCTTCATTAGTCATGCTATATCCTGCATGGAGCTAAAGGCTGCCAAGAGATTCTGACAAATATTATGTCAGGGCCCAGAGCATACCAACAAGTACCCTGACCAGCCCCATTTAATGCCTCCACCCACCGCATTTAAGTCCAAGCCTTTGCACCCACTCCCAATCCTCACTGAAGCACTGTGGTGATTACAGAAGGCTGTGACCTCCCTGTGTAGCCATGAGGTCCTGCAGGGCTGAATCCCAGGGAAAATCATATGGGAAAAGCCCTATGCGGGCTGAAAGTCAACCTCATAGTGCTCCACTCAGGGTTCAGAACACCAGAGCAAATGATGGAGCAGCAAGAGTAGGGGTGTACCACTACAGAGAGCCAGAAGCCAAAGGTGACAGCAAAGGCAGGTAAGTTAGAGAGCTCACCACAAGCAGCACGGCCCTGCAGGACCCAAACACGAGGAGCAAAACAAGTCTGGTGACACCAACCAACAGCAGCCAGTCCAGATCCCCAGATAAGTCCACAGTTGCAATGCAGGTCCAAGGGCAGGTTGTCTAGAGCTATGAGAACTCTCAGAATCCACAGCAGCTCAAATGACCAAATGAATGCCCTCAGCTTAAATGCAGCTCCCAATGGGCGGAGGATGTGTGGGAGGCTGCCCCATGTGAGGCCCTGACACGTTTGTGTGGGCAGTGGGATGCTCTGCGCAGTCCCAAAATGCTGTCCCACGCAGTGAATCACAAATCCTGCGGTGGCACATTAACAAGTGAAGGGTTAAATGAAGAGTTAAGCCATGAAGCTTAGAGGGAGTCACTTGTTTTCATAAAGTTTGGACCTTCTGTCATTGCCCATGTCTGAAAAATGCAACCAAGATACAGCATGGCAGTCTCTCCTGTGATGAGGGAAGGGTAAAGGCTGGGTAGGAAGAGGAAGCATCTGTTCTCACTGTGCTCTCAGAGCACATCTGAGATGGAGTCTATGACCTGTGGCCCCACTTATCTCCCATCCTGTGGCTAAAAACAAGTGTTTGGCAATTTGTAGGAAAGTGGAGGAGAGGGAGTGAGACAGGAGGACAAGCAGTGCTGCTCTCCTGGTGCCCCTCATTTCCCCTCTGCCTTCTCCCCATACATCACCTCCTGCTCTCTCAAGGGGTCCTGGGGCACTTTGTGTGAAACTTTGGTGAATCCCATGCACAAATTTACAAAACTCATCTTTACCTTTGGAAGTGTTCTCCCTTTTGTCAGAACATAACCTTTTATCTCGAGCTTTCCGGAAGATCTGTTTCAGGAAAATAACATTTGTTACTTACAACAGTGTATCAACACTGCTTCCTTCATATCCAGGGGGGAAACACATGCTACGATACATAGAAATGTTTGTCAAACTGCAACAGCAACACAGCAAAGAGGCTCCATCTGTAACTCTGCCCTGTCTGGTCTAAGTTAATCCAGTGCAATTGTCTATAATGCAATTCATTGTGGATTACTGCTGGGAGAACTATTATTTCTGTAAGTAATGGATTACTTCTTTGTTCCTAATCCACAAGGCACCTTAGCAATGCCCCAGAAAAAGAATGAGCAAGGATTTAAGTACTTGGCTCACCATTACTAGACAGCACTGGCATCATTTTAGGATCAAATCCCTCATATTGATCTCCCCACGTAGCTCTGTGCCAATGAAATAAGACTGGTTGCAGTGAAGCTATTTACATCCAACTTATGTTTCTTTAAATCAGGAAATCCATGCCTTCCACTTTTCAGCTAATTACTAACTAGTAATAATCAGAAGAGGATGGAAATGGTACCGAGGGAGATACCATCGCTTACTTATACCTGGAGATTAAAGGTAGTCTAACAGCAACATCATCTCTTGAGATAATTACAAACAATAATAACTTCCTTAGAAGTTCTTCACAAGGCTCATAATGGGCTTCTGCTGGAGTCCAGCAGGTGTCAGCACAAAACACAACATTAAATGATATCTTACTCGAGTGTAAGCACAGCAGAGAAGGCAGATAATCAAAATGCCAGTGCAGCACCAAAACAGGATTTCCCCTTCAGTCCTCCCAAAGCCTTCCTCATCTTCATGGAATTTCCTCTCATCTGGTTTCTGACTGGTGTCAGAGGCTGAGAGCTCATTTCGCAGATCATTCCACCAAAGATAGAAAGAAGGGTGTCCCATGGAGCTGCGTTGCTGGACACAGAGCTTTGTGTTATCCCTGCTCCAGAAGGACAGCATTGCTGCATTCAGAGCAGCTCCTCAGCAACCCTTTGTCCAACAGACAGACTCTGGAACACCTGGAGAGGAAGCCCAGAGATGATGACATCACAAGAGTTTGTCTTTTTAGTGCCCATTAAATCCTTTGGCTCTGATCCGGGGTGTGCTCTCAAGTCATAAAGTCATCGAGTCACAGAATGGCTTAGGGTGGAAAGAACCTTAGAGATCACCTAGGTCCAGTCGCAGCAGGGCTGCTCTCAAGGAGTTCTTCTACCAATCTGTATTTATATATCTATGTTTGCCCTGACCCAAGTGCAACACCTGCAATTAGCCTTGTTGAACCTCATTAGGTTCACGTGGGCTCACTCCTCAGGCCTGCCCAGGCCCCTTTGGATGGTGTTCCTTCCTTCTGTTGTGTCATCTGCACCGCTCAGCTTGGTGTCATCAGCAAATTTGCTGAAGGTGCACTCAATCCCACTATTTTTGTCATTGAACCAGTCCCAAGACAGATCACTGGGGGACACCACTGGAAAACCCACTGGGGACACCACTGGGACACCCACTGGGGTGGCTGGTTGGACCGGATGATCTTGGAGGTCTTTTCTTAGTGATACTATGATTCTATGATCTTAAAATGTATGTTCATAAGTACAATAATATGTGTTCTAAATCACTTATGTGTAAGTCTCGAATATATGATAGGATTCCTAAAACATTCTGTGATTAATAAAGGTCTTTGAAATTATGGAATTAAAGAGAGAGTTTAGCTTTTAAGATGCCTGTGAAGAACTTTTGGAGCTCAGGCTACCATGTGAACAGACCCTGGTATTTCTGCCTGTAGTACTTAGCATGGGGAGTAGATATACAAGCAGTTACACAAAGAATAACCTTTTACTTCGTAGGCAATTAATGTGTACTTGCATGTCTCCCCTGGGCCTCCTCTTCCCCAGACTGAACAATTCCAGTGTATTTTGAAGCACATCCAGAAATCAAACAAAGCAAAAAGGCTGAACAGAGATGCAAAGTCCTAGAGAAAACATAGAAATTTCTATAACGCCAGGTGGACTGAGCACAGGGAATAGCAACTCATGATTTTTCTCCCCCTCTTGTCACTTTTCACCATTTAGTTCTATTTGACACGGCTAGTTTAGAGCCTACTCATCTGAACAGGCTGCCCAGGGAGGTGGTTGAGTCACCATCTCTGGAGGTGTTCCAATAAACGTGTAGATGTGGTGCTAAGGAACATGATTTAGTGGGCAACAGTGGTGGAAGGCGGAGTAGATAATCTGAAAGGTCTTTTCCAACCTTAATGATTCTGTGATTGTTTTCTGGCATCCATAGACAGCTGGGAGACACATTCTCCCTTATTGTCAGTGAGAACAATGAAACACCTGACCAGGTGAGAAGTACTGCACCTTATTATCGCTTTTTACCACATCTTATCACCTGTTTCTCTCCGTTATCTACATTAGGGTCCTAGGATGAACTGCTGTCCTTTATACCGAGATTATGTGGGATGAGTCCCATTCCTGGAGTGCTGCAGGAGCTCTGACAAAACATCACAAAGATATTCTGTAAATCTCCAGCGTTCTTCCATTGGGTACATGCCTAGAAGGAGGAATGTCAATGAGGAAGGAAAAAGGCGAGCAACAACTGCTTGCAAGTTTAGTAGTGAACAAATTTGCAAATAAGCCTATGTGCTACCTACCAGAGCAGCTTAAATGGCAGCTGCAGATGCCAAGGGTGCTCAGGTTTCCATTCTTCCATTCCAGCGGGAAACACCACCCGCCTTTGTAGTGATCTGCATAGCTTCAGAACCCACCTGACTCTGGGCATCCTCTAAGGGCAGAATTTAGCCATTTTCCCAGAAGCTACTTAATGGGATGGGCTCAAAGCTCCCGGCTGATATGAGCACAGCTTCACCTCCCGAGGACTCTGCTGGATGTGCCCCCCACATGTACCACACTATAGAGACTGAGGGCAAATCCTCCTCCTCACTCTCAGGTACCTATTTCAGGGGGAATCACCATTTATTGGAAGCACCCCATTAGAATCACTGTCAGCTCCCTGCACCTGAAACTGAAAATGCAACAGAATCTGTGCGTGACTCTCAGTGCTGGTTGCTGACAGAGCTCATTAGAGGGTCTTGTTGGCGAGCACCTCAGCGCCAAGATGGCGGCGCCCTCACTCGCCCCTTCCCGCCCAAACCGTCCGTCAGCAGCCGCCCCCATAGCAAAATGCCCCGCCCCTTGCCGACGCGTCGCAGCTAGTGACGTCACTTTACGTCGCCCACTCGCGCAGGCGTAGACTGTGCGGCAGTTGTGGCTGCGTGAAGGGAGCGCGGTGGGGTCGGCGGTGTTTCCGTTGTCCTTGTGTGTCTTTGCGGCTTTCCCGCTCCGCAGCAGGTATTTGGGAGTGTTCTCAGGGTCTTCTAGGTTGGAGGGGGTCGTCTGTTTGGGCCTGTGAGGGTTTGGGGGTGTGAGGCCTGTTGGGATGGGGGTCGTCCGTGTCTGACGGGTTTTAGGGCGGAAAGAGCTGTGGGGCCGGGTCTGTGTGATGGGTGAGGGTCGAGAGGGAGATGTGGAGCCTCGTCTGTGTGAGTGTGGGGAACTGCTGCCCTCAGAGGTGCTGAAGGTATGGGGAGGAAAGTAAAGGTGTCTGCTTAGGGCTGTGTTTATCAGTATGAGAAGTCTCAGATCTCAAATTGTAGGGAATGTACCATACAGTTTAATCTCATAATTCTGCTAGTGAGCATGGTCCTGTGTCACCTTTGAGTCATAGGAGTAAACAAGTCTGTGGTAGGAATGTGGTGCAGCTCCTCTGCCAGACATGCATGCTCTGTTCTGTGTGGGTTTGCTCGTTCCTTTCCCTGCCCTTCTCAGCTCTAGTTCTGCAAGAGATGGACTTCTCACTTTGTGCTGTGCAGCTGTGTTACATGCAGGAATAGGCTGCAGCACCAATTGGAATCTCACTGTGCTTGATGCAGCCCACAGTCACAGAAATGGTTCCTAAGCTGAACGCATCTGTGCTTTCCCCAGCTTTTATCTTTGTTTTGCAACATCAGAGCTCAGGAAACCTCCAGTGTACTGACAGAGGCCCTTCTCATTAGCTTCAGGGAAGATGTCATGTATCTTCATTACTTGAAGGAAGTGTATAAACAGGAATGGGAACAGCTGTTTATGAGGGTAGATAGTGATAGGATAAGGGGGAATGGTTTCAAACTGAGATAGGAGAGGTTTAGGTTAGATATGAGGAGGAAGTTTTTCACACAGAGGGTGGTGACACACTGGAACAGGCTGCCCAAGGAGGCTGTGGATGCCCCATCCCTGGAGGCATTCAAGGCCAGACTGGATGTGGCTCTGGGCAGCCTGGTCTGCTGA